GTATTAAATTAATACTGATTTTTGATTAATAACATCTTATAATCAGTTGGCATTAAGTAAATGCATAATTTTGGAATTAAATTAATACCAATTCCTAAATAATACAGTAGGTATTAATTCAATGTAATATGTTTTATGTATCAGAATTTATTTTAAAATAATTTTAATTGAACCGAATCATCTGATAAACCAAAAAAAAAAAAGTTTTAAAATGTTGCACTATTTATTGTGAAGGTATATAACATTTCTCCTATAATTAACAAGCGGTATGAATTCATTTAATACAATACTTTTGGAATTTAACAACTTTATTTTTAAAGATTTCAAGTGATAGTATCATTGTTGTAAAGAATTAAGGTTAAACAAAAAGTTGGTTTAAAATGTTAAACTATATCGACGAACTTGCAATGATTTAATTAAGGGAAGAAACATGATCCTGTATACTACTGTATCTGTCTCTTATACACATCTAGATGTGTATAAGAGACAGTATATGTTACTTTTAATCATTATTTTGCAAAAAAAAAAGTTGTATTGTAGTGGGCAAGGAAGCATGCTATAATGTGTATGTTAGGTTATTATATGGACATATTTTCTTTTCAAATCATCAGGGAGTAAATAGAGTGTTGGCATATTAAGACCAATCTTAACCATAATGTATAATTATTTCATAACTTCAGTGCATGTTGAAATGGACCATTCCACTAAGCACCGCCCCTTTAATATTGGTGCTGAATTTCCACTTATTCCTGGCTATGTTCTGATTGGTCAGTAGTGGTGTTTGATTGACAGTGTGGAAAGGTGCATTGTGTAAGAATCACTCTGGCTGGCATCATTTTACTTTCTTCAACTGGAAGTAGAGTGCATGCAAGTGATTCGTTTTAATCGAATTTGTGACTCAATATTTTTGAACTTTGTTCGTTTATCTTCAGAAATGCAATATTTTGATATTAGATATTAAATTGATAGTTTTAAATTGATAAATATTAATTTAATACATTGTTTTGAATAACATTCATATTTAATACAATAATACTGTATTAAATTAATACTGATTTTTGATTAATAACATCTTATAATCAGTTGGCATTAAGTAAATGCATAATTTTGGAATTAAATTAATACCAATTCCTAAATAATACAGTAGGTATTAATTCAATGTAATATGTTTTATGTATCAGAATTTATTTTAAAATAATTTTAATTGAACCGAATCATCTGATAAACCAAAAAAAAAAAAGTTTTAAAATGTTGCACTATTTATTGTGAAGGTATATAACATTTCTCCTATAATTAACAAGCGGTATGAATTCATTTAATACAATACTTTTGGAATTTAACAACTTTATTTTTAAAGATTTCAAGTGATAGTATCATTGTTGTAAAGAATTAAGGTTAAACAAAAAGTTGGTTTAAAATGTTAAACTATATCGACGAACTTGCAATGATTTAATTAAGGGAAGAAACATGATCCTGTATACTACTGTATAATCAAAAGTGGTTCTATCCCATTGAATGGCATTTAGGTGAACTGTAATTGGATTTAATAGCGAAGGAGTACAGTTAAGTCATCATTTTTTTAGACAACCCTTCCCCTACAGTAGCGTATTTGTTACAAAGTAGGCGATTCATACCTTTTACATGAATCAAGAAGCATATTCAGCTCACACAGCATATTGTCAAGAATGTTTAAGGCACGAATGACGATACGACGGTGAAGTATTCGTTATCGTTTTTGTAAGGTTGCAAAATCCACCTATTATTGCTACACTATTGTATATATTGTTGCTATTTCCCATCATGTTAAAAATACAGTTATGATAAATGATAGTTCATTGTTTAAAATATAAATGGTAAATTATAAAGTTATAGTGCCTGTATTGAGCTACTAAATCTCAACAATTTAGATTGCTGTAGCTTTTTGAAAAAAAAAAATGTTTTTTAGCAACTGAACTTTGGAGCAAGAAAGAGAATTTTATGAAAGTTGGTAAGTTAGGTTTTCTTATCATTAAAGATAAGGACTCCTTTCTATTTAAATGGTTAATCAGTGTATTTATTATCTAAAATGAACTACATTTGTATTTATAGTTGAATTATACTGTTTTACACAGTGTTTTAGTGATTTCCAAAACTATTTAAATATATTATTAAAGAATGTACACTTGAAACTATGTCTATGTTTTGTCCACATTTGTGCGTTTAGGTATGTTATCACTGTTTTTGTAGGATTCGGCTAACTATACAGTAATAATATACTGTAGTATGGTTTTGTCCGGTAACTGCATACTGATATATGCAACTCTGGGGAAAACGTGTTTAGTAAAAAGAAAAAAATGCAAGGATTATACAAGCTTGGCCTCAAACAATGCTAAGAACTTCCTTGGGTTCTAATTCCAATGGGAACAAATACGTATTTCTTAAAAAATATTTTTACATTTTACATACAAACATATCCTCTTCCTCTCTCTCTCCCTCCCACACACAAAGTATGTTTTCTGCGTATCACCGTAAACAATATAAACATAAATAATAAGAGTTCTCGACAATAATTAACATGGTGTGATGATGATAAAATAAATCTTCAACAAAAAGTTGTTTGTCGGATTTTTTTAATTTGTGATCATGGATAGGCGTAATTGAGCGAAATTTAAAGGTCTTAATAACATTCTCAAATTAAATTTTCAATGCTTAGTTCGTTGTTGATGAATAGAAAATTTAGGACGAATGTACTGCTCGTACTGGTTGTCCCATCACAGAGCAGAAACAATGACGGTAAAAACACTACGTTGACATTATTTCTGTAACATAATTTATTCTACCAGACTTCGTTAACGTATAGGCCTATAATTCTGTCTATTCAATTACATTGGTTTTAATGGAATTTCTAACTAATTAGTTTTTTGTAGCTTTAAGTGGATTGCCACTTATATCACTGTCCATAACACATTTAATCACAGATAATGAGAAGCGAGTGAAGGGCCATCATCGGCTGCTAAACGTGTCGTCGGCGATTAAGTGTCCACTATATTTTACCAATAAGTATCGTCACGGTGACGTAGTATATTAAGTACCAAGTAGCGATGAGTGACTACTTATGTTTGCCGTCTGAACACCTTATAACACTTTACTGCTGAAGCTATAACAGTAATCGTGTTAATGTAGTTCTGTTTGAATTATCATCGAAAATCAAATTATAAAAAGAGAATGTTTTTCTGATTAACCGATCGTCTATATTAAACTACTTATTTTTTGGTAAATTGATGTTGTTGAAGATAACGATCTACATCGCGGGATTACATGCACATAAAAATAGTATAAAAGCGTGGACTCATAGTAGCTATTTTCAAGTATGCTTGGAAAGAGAATAAGAAGATAATTAATGTAATATATCACGGTGTTGATTTACCTAAAATACTTTTGTGAATGTTTATTATGAATCAATAAAAACATAGCGAGGAAAACAAAACGTGAACCAAATACAAAACAGCTAAAAAACAATTTTAAATTAATACCCAGATAAAAATAATTTAAAAAATAATAATTATTAGAAAAATCCACCAGAGGTCTGATATTACAGGTTTAAACAGAATTCGTAGTGTAGATTTATATATAAAAAGTTGTTTAATCAACCAATCAATCAATCAATTATTCATTAAATCAATCAATAAGCCACATTTCAATACTACAGTCATTTTGATGTTGAGCCAGTGGATTTCTCATACCAGAATATAAATCTAACTTTTTTCAAGTGAATTTAGACGCGTTTTGGCACAAACACAATTCCAAGAAACGTTTACACGTTATATGCCACGGATACGACGAACTAAGCGAAGGAATAATAATGTTGGTAAGGTTAGGCCAAAATATCTTTCCATTTTTCAAAATGGAAATGTGCGGTACTTCACTCTGATTTAACTCATGATTCGTATTTAAAGAGTCCAATTAATTATGTTGTTTAAACTGTTTTCATTTTAAGGTTATGCACAATTAGGCTGAATCCAAAGTACATTAATTCGAGCATTATCTTTCCGATTTGGTTCAATCATTCACTCAATTGGAGTGGCGCGGCTCAGTAGTGGAAACGAAGATTTGGGCAGTGGCAGTAACATTCCTTATGTGGCTGTCCATTTTATTTTTGACAAAAACATGTGACATACCTCAATGGTCATAATGACATCACATCATGACCATTCATGACCATATATATAAGTATCTATAGTTTTTTGTCCAAGAAAATTTAATAATTTGGCCGGAAAGAACTTTAGAGGATGAAGATGTGGAGCGGGGCTTAGCGAAACAGTCCATTGCCTGGCTGTGTTTATTTTCATAGACATGAGAAAAAGAACATACGCTTATAAATTATACTTTATTTGTCACACACTAACAAATAAAAAAAAACAAATTAAATTAAATTTGATAATCTGGTCGGACACAGCTTTAGAATTAGAAGATGTAGGCGAGGCTTAGCGAAACAGTCCATTGCGTGACTGTGTTTATTTTTATAGACATGAGATAAAGAACATACGATGATACAGTATACTTTATTGTCAGATTTACAATACAGTATACACGATTTATTTCTGTTTATTACGTATAAAAAACAATAACATTATCAACTTTTTGCATTAGAATAATGATAGTTTCAGTCTGATTAACATGCAGACGCATGCTTGGTCAACTTCCAAACGATCACAATTTCCCTTCGCCCAAGGTTATACTTAAGACGTTTAAAAGCAAGAGTGCAAAACACCGCAATGAAACAACTGTAATACACTGAAAAACAAACATTTTCATGACAAAATCGATGTGCTGTATGCATGCAAGATAGATATTAAAAGTTGATTTCAGTGGTCCATTGTTCTCGTCTATATATAAAATAGCAGGGTGATGATCACAGAGAATTGTTCTCGCCGTTTTGAACTTTAATTCAATCAACAGTGATTTCGATTAGGTCGAAGAACATCGACATTAGGCTACCGCTAGAAACATCATTTGATTGCCTTACATTGATTTGATCGCCCGTTAACATTCAGATAATCCAGGTAATTTTTGTTTTTATTTCAAAATCTAGAATTGTTCAATTATAATGTGTGTCAATATCGAATCGATACATTACTCACTGTTATTGCCTGGGTTTTTGCTTCTGTACTCGAAGCGGAAAACTTTATAGCATACTCACCCAAACCGTGCCACAGCGTTCGGTATCATAATATCATAATCATAATCAATCATCATCATCACCGTCATAAGCAGAAAAACCATGAAATTTGACGATTCCAATGTCATTAGGGACGTCTCATAATAGAGGAAAGTACATTTTTCTTTAAGAAAACATTTTCCCCTACCCTCTCCTAACTATCTGATTAACCTGACACATCATCTTTCACACAAAGCTAAAACCACTCTGATATTTTTTTCCTTTAAAATGTTCATTTGGAATGTATATTCTAAGATTGAGTTACGTTCATTTGTTCAATTCCAAAAAATAATGTTGTTGATAGTACTCACATATCGTTGATGATACTCACATAGGCCTATTATTTATCACCCTGATATTTTTTTTAATTAACAAAAACCTAAGACTTGTATTAATATCGTTCGGATGCTCAACCAACTAAGTTAAGGTAGACCTATATTTTTTCTCATAGTAGGCCTATAATACGTCCCCCCAACCCCACATAAACAGATTGCACAAACGTATTCTCTGTTTCAATTATAGTTTTGTCCGACTTTCAAATCTATCAGCTTGAGCAGGCCAACTTAACTATGCTTGCACATACCTGTTATAAAAAAAATATAAAAAAAATGTTAATGGCGTAGGCACTTATATTAGGCACTTTAAGCTAGAGGACGGGGAGCCGTCGACAACGGAAGTTCGGGTTAAGCGCCGTATAGTTTACTGTGGTCTTCACGCTCTGATGAGCACAGAACCACCGTCCACCCGTCTTCCCGTCCTGTTGCGTAAAGTGCCATAAAGTCTTTCATTAACCGCGTAATGCAGGTATTTCTGTGTTGACGGCAACTTGAGTTTTGCAATTTACCGCGCGAACAATTTCAGTTACCAAGAACAAGAATTATTCAATAAGTCTCTCCACGCACTGCATGAGAGAGTCGCGTTAAGGACGGCTGAGTCGTTCATTTGCTCATTTCATGTGATACGGTGAACAGTTCTGGTCGATTCTTCCATCAAACATCAATCGAGGAGAAATCGCATTTTCAACGTTGTGAATTAAGTAGTCGCGGGTTATATAGACTCTAAAAGTTGGTACGACTTCTTATTAAGAGACCTGCAAATCTTTACTGAATTTATCAGATCTGTGTGTTGCTAATTGCTTGTAGATAATTATCCAGATGCGATAGTCACAATTCTTAACACCATCTCTCTAGTTTGGAAGCGTGCATTATTGACTTAAACGTAAGTAAAACATACTAAACGGCTACGTTTTTATAACTATTCTGCTGTGTCTGTTGCGTTTTTGAGCAAATCCTCTCTAGGGGGTGATTCGGATGTTGTTATATATATATATATTTACTGCAATATGTAATTGAGATCGAATTTCCTTTCGGTTGAACTCCTGATATTTGTTTTGCAAAAACGATTTAATAAGAGCAACATAACTTCCATTACATAAGAGATTTAACGTATAACGATTGTTGAATTCAACCCATCGACAGTTCATTTAAATTTGTTGACGGCAATATCGAAATAATGATATAATTATGCTTGACTAACCTAAACGTACCATAAGCGAATGTTATTGAGTTAGTGTGTACTGTAATTTCTATGGCTTACCGTATTACAAATTTAACATGAGGCAACACATAGGTAGTTAACCTTACATCCCATCAATTTCGCCAATATGACGTACTGTAGACAATCATGTAGATAAATAAGTATGTTTTACTTATTCAACAGTAGTTTGCAAACAAGATAAAACATTAACATACTACAATGCTCGTATCATGAAATCCCTTAATTAAATTAAAACAAACGCAATAAACGAAGGTACGTTGGACTGCCTGGTTTCAATGCAACATTGATTTATTATTTCATATTCCTTATAAAATTAGCTTATAATATATCATATTATGTTTGTACTATTAGGCCTATTATATTTGATTCTATCCATAATTAACATGGATATAAATGTCTATCTACGAAAGGCGAATGTACTATAGCCTATACAGTAAAAATTAATATGAAAAAGTCAAATGCTTTTATTATCTATTATAAGATAAATTTATTAAAAAATATTAAAACAGCTTAAGTTGTTTCATACAACACCAATGCTAATCGTCCTTTATTGGAAAAATATAATAATATAAAGTTAAAGCCCATTGCTGGTATCATAAACATACAATAAAATACAGATTACTACCAGGCCTATACAAATCCAACTTTCTAAACGTAATTCTCATTTTTCCTAATAAATTTACATCGTAATTTTGGCTTAAAAACCTGATAGGCCTACACTTCATTCTGTCAATAACTTAGCCTTATAAAACAATTTGATCAATTTCAAAGAAAACTTAACATCATTAGGCCTGTTAAACGATTGCCCATTAGTTGAACTATAAAACGAATGCCGTTCGTACGTAGGAAAACAATATAAATCACCGTAGAATTTTCTGTTGCCCGTTGAGGCTTACAAGTAGACTGAATTCCCATAAAAATGTTGGCCTTTTCCTTGCGTTCTTGATGTTAGTATTTTGCGGCGTTTTAAGTGATGCTGATCAATATACTTATTTTACGAACCAAGTTTCCTATGAGCCAATGTCAACAAAAGTATAAAGAGTATGAATAATAGATAGCAATTCAATACTGGTTATCAAATGCACTGTTGGTGGGTACCATAGAGATTGTCGGCACGATGTAAAGTCACAACACTTAACGTATACTGTACATTGATACCAGGCCTATACAAATCCAACTTTCTAAACGTAATTCTCATTTTTCCTAATAAATTTACATCGTAATTTTGGCTTAAAAACCTGATAGGCCTACACTTCATTCTGTCAATAACTTAGCCTTATAAAACAATTTGATCAATTTCAAAGAAAACTTAACATCATTAGGCCTGTTAAACGATTGCCCATTAGTTGAACTATAAAACGAATGCCGTTCGTACGTAGGAAAACAATATAAATCACCGTAGAATTTTCTGTTGCCCGTTGAGGCTTACAAGTAGACTGAATTCCCATAAAAATGTTGGCCTTTTCCTTGCGTTCTTGATGTTAGTATTTTTCGGCGTTTTAAGTGATGCTGATCAATATACTTATTTTACGAACCAAGTTTCCTATGAGCCAATGTCAACAAAAGTATAAAGGGTATGAATAATAGATAGCAATTCAATACTGGTTATCAAATGCACTGTTGGTGGGTACCATAGAGATTGTTGGCACGATGTAAAGTCACAACACTTAACGTATACTGTACATTGAAAAATGTGATAAGCAAATGTATCTCCTTTTTATCTTCGATGGTCCTTATGTTAGTGTAAATGTACTTTTATTAGTTTGTGTTAGGTGGAATCGTATAGTTATTGTAATTAAAATACCTCATCGATAAGAAAAAAATAATATGGTAATTAATTAAACACGTATAAGATATACTGTACATATTGATAAGAGAACATTTTATGTAGTACCGACTTTACTTTTACTTTGATATAAGAATGATATTATTACTATATTATTATTATCATTATTATTATTAGGGCCTATTATTATTATTATTATTATTACTATGATTATCATTATTATTAATATTATTATTATTTATTATTATCATTAGGCATATCTTTGTTAGTTATGTTGTAATTTTTGTTATTTTTATTCTTAATATTTCTTATAATATTTATTATTCTCAAATTAAATAAATAACAATCGTCAGGAGCGTCATTATTGTCATAATTAATATCACAACAATCACCATTAAAAGTATCATTATTATCATCATCTTTAGCAGCAGCAATGGCAGTACCAACACCACTATCCCTTCGTCACCTTCATCATTGTAATCATTATCATCGTAATCATTATCGTCATGATCATCATCACCGTCGTCATCGTTACCATCATTGTCATCATCCATTAACATCAACATTATCGGGAACTGGACAAATGACCGGCATATGATATTATATGTACACTCAAAATTGGATTAATTTGTCCATAAACAGCCCTAGGCATTATATGCATAATCTTTTCGATGAGATTGAAATGCAACCAAACTAGATCGATATTGAAGCGGCCAAGTTAACTGTGTTGATTGAATGCATAAAAATTACACTTGGAAAACAGTTTTCATGTATCATGTGTAAATGAGTTGTCGTGACTGGTAGGTTGTATATATAGACTGATTTCAATATTTACAGTGTACAATTCGACCTAGATGCTAGAGAAACGTCCGATTCAATCAGATATCCTACTGTTCTATATCCACATCCGTGTGGCATGCTTGGTAGGATATCCGCCAATTGTGATTCAAGCAGACAGCATTATGACGTTTTAATTTTACAACATCAACTACATCGCCCGAAACTATTTGAATTCTGAACACTAAATAGCCGTACATGACAAGTAAGATTTTTAAGTGTTCCAAATACGAAATATTTCGCATACTAAATTGTTGCGTATTATATGTGTTTTTTGGATTAGACGACTGCTTCTTATGCTGTTGAATTCATCACTAGTTCGTGTTTTAAGACATTTTTGTTCATTTTTTTGTGTTCTAACTTCAAATACTTTGAAGAAAGAGTTTGCAACTCCTTATTCAGGCTAGGGTTCGTCACCCTTTCCTTTCATGTATCAACATGTCAGCTTTATACATGCAGCGTATATAAAAAATAAATAAATAATTAGAAATGTGTACAATTTTATATACATACATATATATACACACAAATATATATATATATATATATATATATATATATGTATGTATATAAAATTGTACACATTTCTATTTATTTATTTATTTTTTATATACGCTGCATGTATAAAGCTGACATGTTGATACATGAAAGGAAAGGGTGACGAACCCTAGCCTGAATAAGGAGTTGCAAACTCTTTCTTCAAAGTATTTGAAGTTAGAACACAAAAAAATGAACAAAAATGTCTTAAAACACGAACTAGTGATGAATTCAACAGCATAAGAAGCAGTCGTCTAATCCAAAAAACACATATAATACGCAACAATTTAGTATGCGAAATATTTCGTATTTGGAACACTTAAAAATCTTACTTGTCATGTACGGCTATTTAGTGTTCAGAATTCAAATAGTTTCGGGCGATGTAGTTGATGTTGTAAAATTAAAACGTCATAATGCTGTCTGCTTGAATCACAATTGGCGGATATCCTACCAAGCATGCCACACGGATGTGGATATAGAACAGTAGGATATCTGATTGAATCGGACGTTTCTCTAGCATCTAGGTCGAATTGTACAC